CACCTTCTTTCAGGGGACCCATAGGTGGGGGTACACTATCATTATGTGTGACCCTACAGCTCAGCCACACTCTGCAGATGTGGCTCTGTGGGTGGGGACCCTCAAAGGGGGCCCCAGGCCCAATCTGAAACATTTCTTGCAAAAGAAGAATGAAACTTAAATTAGGAATAGTGGGCTGGAATTTGGACTATGCAGGCAAAGGAGAGGTACCCAAGGGATGGAGCAGTGAGGGTCAGAGGTGAGACCAGCCATCAAGTGAGGGTCCTTCCTGGCCAATGCATCTCTTGGCTTGGGCTCAAATAGACCTCAGGAAGTATTGTGACAATGAGACCTGTGACGAGTCTGTTGTTGGGACCCCTCACCCCAAGCCCCAGTTCAGGAAAAGCCAAGGAAACAGGAGAGAAGGGCCCTAGGGAAGGCCTGTGGGACTTCAGAAAGGGGCACAGTGCTTAGTAGGCACATGGTTGGCAGGGTCAGCTTGAGTCTCTCCCAATTTTTGCTGTGTCCTGTATGCCCACCAGCATCCTACATGCTCAAGAAGGACTGAAAGGAGAACTGAGGTGCAGAGAGGGGCAGGCTCTGGCTCCCACCCTCCCAGAAGCTAGTGGCATAACTGTTCTGTTCACTGCCACCCTGCTCAGTGCCCAGAGAAATCTCCTCTGTGGGCAATCCTGCAAGTACTTTACACCCATGTCAAAGCTTGGCCCTACTCTTGAAACCATCCTTTATCCCAACTCAGATCTCATTCCAAGTCATGCTGAGGCCCCAGTGACCACCTCTTTCATCATGCCAGAGTCACAGCCTCCTCAGAAGACCACCATGGATCTTTGAATTCACTCATGCCTTTTCTTTCTCCAGCCACGACCAATCCACCAAGTACCTCAACTTCTCAGCTTCAGAGGAGAAGGGAGGCAGTGTGGCCAAGCACAGATACCAGGCAAGTGGTGGAGACAAAGGAGCTTGGTCTGGAGAAGGAGCCCTGGAACTGGAGAGCCAGGAGGGATGCGAATCTGGCATGGGCTCTGCCCTCACTGCCTTCTGTGCAGGTGAATAACCTGGGACAAAGGGACCTGCCTGTCAGCATCGACTTCTGCGTGCCTGTGAATCTGAATGGAGCGCCTGTGTGGACAGAGGTGGAGGTCTCTCCCCTTCAGGTACCCAAAGACTGTGTTTGGTTCCTCCATTAACATCCCTTACCTGGATTCCCTGTTTTTCCTCTTGAGCTGCCAATGTCCCAACTGAGACACTTGTTCTTTTCATGTTTTCTCCCAGAACCCATCCATTCAGTGCTCTTCGGAGAGACTAGTTCCCACAGAGACTGACTTCCTGACTCATATTCATAAGAATCCTGTGCTGGTGAGGTGGGCTCTGGGCTATTCGCCACTTTAGCCACATATCAGAGGAATTTAATTCAGGAATCCTGTTACATCAGATTCAGATGTGGATGTTTCCCTCTAATCATGCAGTTTAAGTCTGTCTTCTACCTTCAAACTCACCTTCCTATGGCCTGATACTATGTCTCTTTACCTAGGACTGTTCCATTGCTGGCTGCCTGAGGTTCCGCTGTGACATCCCCTCCTTTGGCATCCAGGAGGAGCTTGACTTCATCCTGAAGGGCAACCTCAGCTTTGGCTGGGTCAGCCAGGTGTGTAGGCCCCTTCCCCTAGATTCAAATGGTACCTGATGGGTCTGCACCAAGTCTTAGGCCAGGTCATTTGCTGAACTTACTAAGCTTCCCTCCCCAGATCCCCTCACCCTAACACTGTCTTGCAGACATTGCAGAAGAAGGTGTCGGTCATGAGTGTGGCTGAAATCACATTTGACAGATCTGTGTATGCCCAGCTTCCAGGACAGGAGGCATTTTTGAGAGCCCAGGTAGTGACTGTGTGGTAGGCAGTGGCCAGGCTGGTAAGAGGCTACTGATACTAAATCTGTGTTGCTGGGTGGCGGGTTTGCAAGCTTAGAGGGCAGAGGGAGGAAGGTCCCTGGGCAAGACAGTTGCTCTGAAGAGTTTGAGTGCTCCTGCATCTCACCTCTTAGAGCAGGGCCTAGGGAAGGAGGGGAGGGAGCTAAAGCCAGGAAAACTGGGTTGGGGTTGGGGGTTTCTGAGATTGCGTGAGGCCCAATACTTTCTGATGGGGTCATCTCTACTCCAGATGAAGACAGTGCTGGAGAAGAATGAGGTCTATGACCCTATCCCCCTCATTGTGGGCAGTTGTGTGGGAGGTCTGCTGCTCCTGGCTCTCATCACTGCCACACTGTATAAGGCAAGTTTAAACCCACTCTAGCCATGAGGGTAAGAAAGAGCTCATTTTGGAGTTGGATGTACATTCTCATTAAGTCTCTTCATATGAGAAATTCCCTCCCCTCATATTATCAGTCACCAATTCCCCCCCATTTGTATCTTCCTGATTCTCAGATATCATCTCTCCCTTTCTTTTCTGCTCCTTTACCTTTCTAGTCTTTCCCTTTGCAGCAGAACATAACATAAAGCCATGAATACTTGGATTTGAATGTTGATACCACCATTAATTATTTCTTTGACTGTAGGAAAGTGCCTAGTCCACTGTAAGTCTTTACTTTTTTCATTGTGAAGCTGATTGTACTTATGGCTGACAGAATCTGGATCTAATTCTAAATGATAACGAGTACAAAGCTCCTTATGCTGTGCTTTGAACATAGTAGGAGTTCTACAAATGGTGATCCCTTCCTCTTCCCCATTTCACCACTTTTCCTTTCTCTTACTGGACTTCCTGATCTTCTCCACAGGTTGGCTTCTTCAAACGTCAATACAAGGAAATGATGGAGGAAGCAAATGGACAGCTTGTCCCAGAAAATGGAACATTAGACCCCCAAGATGCTCAGTGAAAAATGACTTCCTGTTCTCCCCGATAGGTTTTCTAGTTCCTCTTCCTCTCACTTATGTTGGGCCTAAGGGGGAAAGAGCATTCCACGCGAAGGAGGCTGGGATCAGGCTGCTTTCACTTTTTGGGAAAATGCAATATGTCTACCCAGAGTGTCTTGTCTGGGAAGTTTTATTCATCTTGTCAAGGCTCCAACTGGAAACCCTGAGGACTGGGTCTCTGCCATGATCTAGAGGGCTTGGAATTTCTACCCAGAAATCCATGGACTATAGTCTCAGGTTCCAGTCTCCCTCCCTCCACTAGCCACCAGTGATCTTTCTAAAATACAGAACTAAATGAGTCACTCATTCTCATCCATCGTCAGTGGCTCCCGTTACTTTCAGGATAACGTCTGAACTCTCGTCTTGGTGTTAGACATCCCATTCCGTTTCTAGAAGGTGGGCTTCATAGTACACAGCATGAGATGCTCTGTGTCTCCTTGTTATCCTCATTCTTAGTAAATTCCTGTCATGTCAGTTCCTAGCTTTGTTTTGGGAATTTCAGTCCAGATTTCTCAAACTGAATTGGGAAAGAAATGACTGTACACTGGAATTCATAAAGCTGGCTTCTGGCATTGGTCAGCACTGCTAACTGGGAGGGAGGGTATCCTCTCAGGAGGGATTCTGCCCCAGTGCTACTGAAGCTCAACCAGTTCCAGGTCCAAAGAGGCCTAAGCCCCTTCCACTTTTTGAGGCCCCCAATATAATAAATGAAGAAATGCCAGAACATTTTTAAAAAGTGTGTTTTAAATGTTTGCATTAGTAAATTAAAACATGCACAAAAAGATGTATGTACCTTTAATGTGAAATATGTTAAAAGTCTAAAGTTCAGGCATTTTATGGAGGTAAGTCTTGGACATTAATGCCCATGGGGTCCCTGTACCATGGTGGACTCTGGCCAACCCTGAGACCTGGAGTCAGGCCAAGACAGTTAACCAGAATGGGGATTAGGACAGTCCCTATATTGACGATAGATAATCTGACCTCTTACTCTACTCTGTTCTCTTGACTGTTGCTAATGGAAGCTGATGGAGCTGTGGAGAAAGACTTGGTGGGAAGAGGCAAGAACAGAGAAATGGCAGCCTTCAGTGGCTTCTCTTCCATCTGGAGAGGTCATTGGAGTGAACCAATACACAAGTGTTTCTCACCAATCCTAGCATGTGTTGCAAGGCATACTGATTGCATATGGTTAATGATTCAATAACACTCTTACTTCCATATCAGGAACTTGCTTCTCCCCAAAAGGTCATTTAGTTACATTTTTTTAAATGTAACTAAAAAGAACATATGTAACTAAAAAGAACAATCTTCTGCTATTTGTTCTTTTTAGTTACATATGACAGCAGAAATCTATTTTGATATGTTTATACAAACATGGAATGCATCTTATTTAGTTAGGATCCCAGTCTTGTGGATGTATGTGATGCTGAGGTTCACTGTAGTGTATTCATATATGTACATAGAAAAGTTATGTCAGATTCATTCCACTGTCTTTCCTATTTTTACCCCCCCTTCCCTTCATTCCCTTTGTCTAATACAATGAATTCTTCCTCTCTCCCCCCAAAATCAATAAATAGGATGGTATTAAACTAAAATGCTTCTTTTTAAAAAATAGTTATTTTTTAGTTATAGGTGAACATAATACCTTTATTTTATTTTGATGTGGTGCTGAGCATCGAACCCAGTGCTTCACGCATGGTAGGTGAGGGCTCTACCTCTGAGCCACAACCCTAGCCCCTAAAATGCTTCTTCACAGTGAAGGAAACAATCGAGTGTGAAGAGAGAGCCTACAGAATAGGAGAAAAATTTTGCCACCTGCACCTCAGATACAGCATTAATTTCCAGGATATACAAAGAACTCAAAAAGCTTAACACCCCCCCCCCAAATACAACAACAATAACAAACCCAAATAACCCAATCGATAAATGGGCAAAAGAAATAAACAGACACTTCTCTAAGGAAGAAATTTAAATGGTCGGATGAATTCATTGGCTGTGGAATTGGAACCAGAGGGTATTCTGGCCCCTGGAGGCTGGGGCTCATGCACCTCACTCCTTTTCTCAGTGCACCGACAGTTCGGAAGATTTATCTGGCAGCGTATGCATCCTGAGAACAGGAGTTGAATTAGTTCTCAAAAATGGGAAGAACCTACATTGTAGAAGAGAGTGTTGGCCAATATCTTTCAAACATCAGTCTCCAAGGAAAAGCTTTTGTCTCTGGTCTTTTGATGGGACAGAACACCACCCAAAGAAGAGCAAAATGAGAACCTCAAACATCCCAAAGCTAAGTTGGATAATTTGGATGAATAATGGGCCACAGAACATGCCAATCAGGTATCCAGAATGCTACCAGGGGGACTTTTAGTTCTTGGAGTATTTATCATTACAACTTTGGAACTGGCACATGATTTTCAAAATGCCCTGCGTAGACTAATATTTGCCATGGAAAAGTCTATGAATAGAAAAAGAATGTGGAATTTCACAGAGGAGGAGATCTCAGAACAAGTAATACTTCACATTTGCTCATCTACAAAAAAAAAAAAATCTTGTTGATATTTTGGGTCATGATATCCATGACCCAAAGAGTTCAGCAAGACCAGCCAATTGGAAGTATCAAAGTGGACTGTCTACTTCATGGCTTTCTCTAGATTGTACCATTCACATTGATATTCACATTCCACTTTCTTCTACTTCTGTCAGCTAGACTCTGGAAACAAATACAAAGAATGGACTTCCACACTGGGCCAAGCAAATAGAAAATGATGTTTATTTGATTAATGGACAAGTTAAAAATGAAGATTGTGATCTATTAGAAGGACAGAAAAAATCTTTCAGAGGAAATACTCAAGCAACTAGTCATTCTTTTGATGTGAGCGTGCTAACACAATTGCTTCTGAATTCAGACCACAGATCTACAGCCACAGTTCCGATCTGCAGTGGTTCTGTAAACCTTAAGGGTTCTGTGAAATGCAGAGCTTATATTCACAGCAACAAACCCAAGGTTAAAGACGCTATGCAGGCAGTGAAGAGAGAGATATTGAACACAGTTGCTGATGGTTGTGAAATACTATTTGAGGACCTGCTTTTGAATGAAATCCCAGAAAAAAAAGATTCTGAAAAAGAGTTCTACATTCTCCCTCACCGAGTTTTTGTCCCCATTCCTGGATCCACTGTAAAGTTATGTGATTATAAATTTGGTGATGAATCAGCCGAAGAAATCAGAGACCATTTTATAGAGATGTTAGATCATATGGTTCAAATAGAAGATTTGGAAATTGCAGAGGAAGTCAACACAGCTTGTATGAGCTCTATGAATAATGAAGCTTCATTGGAACACAAAGATGATAAACAACTAGAGCAACCAATTGAAACTACAGTAATGTTGAAAATTCGGCAAAACATAGGTGTGATTGCAGCATTTGCAGTTGCAGTTCTTGCTGCGGGTATCTCTTTTCATTACTTCAGTGATTAGGGTGAGGCACAAAGAGCTTCCTGATCATCCAGAGAACACTGGTCAACAACTATGAATAATAAAGATATAAACAGTCCCTCTATAGTCAAGACACTAGCAGTCAGATCTTCTACCACACACACACACACACACACACAAAAAGAAAGAAATATAAATGGTCAACAAATATATGAGAAAATGTTCAACATCTTTAGCAATTAGCAAATTAAAACTACATTGAGGTTTCATCTTACTCCAGTCAGAATGGCAATTATCAAGATACAAGTTACCAGAATACAAGTAACATTAATTTAAGTATTAAATGTTGGTGAGAATGTGTGGAAAAATTACACTCATTCATTGCTATGGGGATGCAAATTGGTATAATCACTCTGGAAACCAGTTATGGGATTCCTTAAAAAAAATTGGACCTGGTTATACCACTAATCAATATATATCTAAAGGAGTTAAAATCAAAATGTCATTCTTTTATCATGCCACCTTTCCATCATAGAGCTCACCACGGTGCCTGGCAGTTAGCTGGGGATCAAAACATGGCAAGCCATTCTCTGCCTTCAAGAGATCCTACTGGTGCTGCCACCACCAAGGTACTTGGGCCATATATGTTTCAAATAGGAATAGAACAAGGAGGCAGTTGATCATAAGATCTGAAGGGAAGTTCACCTCCATCCAAAAATATCCTCCATTCACCATAATAGGGTCAAAAATTCCTTTGGATTTTGAAGTTTTGAGTCCCCAGAATGATCAATTATTGTGCAATGTCCCCTGGCCCTAGAGTTGTGTTTCCCCAAATGTGTTTCATAAAACCATTAATGATCTCCTAAGTGGTAAATTTTGGAGAAAAAATAAAGCAAGAAATGATTTTATCCTCATAGATCTTAAACACTTGGAACTGGCAATTTGAATAGAAATAGTGCTGCCCCCTTAATAATTGTGTTCTTTTTTTTTAAAGATTATCTTGTTCTTAAAGCTTCCACATGGCTCTGAGGACTGCAAGGGCTCTTGTTTAACATTCAGGCAACAAGATATAAATTTCATATAATATTATGTTATTTTTTATATCCATTACATTTGCATTTTGGGGGTGCTATTGTGTTGTACTATATCCCCAAATCACAAAAATGAACCAATGGATTAAAACCCTGAAATTTTTAATAAAAATAACAATTAATACAATTTAGAATAATGTCATCAAAATCGGCATTGACTTTGAGTCCAATGCACACATAGAATAAAAATATATGCGGGGCTGGGTTGTGGCTCATCAGTAGAGCACTTGCCTAGCATGTGCGAGGCCTTGGGTTCGATCCTCAGCACCACATAAATAAAAATAAAGATATTGTGTCCAACTACAACTAAAAAATAAATATTAAAAAAAGAAATATATGAAATCTGGCATGAGTGATTTTTGAGTCAAAAACTAAAATATATCTAGAAACTATTGTACCATCTAAAAATTGGATTTTCTTGGTTTTGGTATGTATTTGTTCCCAGTCTGTTTTCCTTTCTGAAACTTTGTCAAATAATAGTAGCACGAAGCTATCAGAGTTTTTGTGTCATTTTCAAACAAAGCAAAATAACCTCTGATGTAAAGCAACAAAGATTTCTTAAAACAACTGCAACATGATGCTTTCCCATCCACAATCAGACAATGTTATCAACTACAGAAAAGACAGCAGAGTTATAGTGACATAAATCAAAGTTGCTTTTATAGCAAAAGTGGGTCAAGTCACATAATTTCCAAGATGCTTATAAAAACATCAGTGAAGTTAATGCCTACATTGGATTATTGATTTTGGCTGCAAGTAACAAGAGAAAAAAATGCATAAGAACATATAAAGGGTCTTTCCTTAATGTCATCAAAATCAGCATTGACTTTGAGTCCAATGCACACATAGAATAAAAATATATGCGGGGCTGGGTTGTGGCTCAGCAGTAGAGCACTTGCCTAGCATGTGCGAGGCCTTGGGTTCGATCCTCAGCACCACATAAATAAAAATAAAGATATTGTGTCCAACTACAACCAAAAAATAAATATTAAAAAAAGAAATATATGAAATCTGGCATGAGTGATTTTTGAGTCAAAAACTAAAATATATCTAGAAATTATTGTACCATCTAAAAATTGGATTTTCTTGGTCAAGGTGCAGGTTGTTTAATTCATTGGTTTGACAATGACAATAAGATGCAGATTCTGACAGGTGTGGTTAGTCCTAGCTACTAGGGAGGCTGAGGCTGGAGAGTTGCTTGAGTTCAGGAGTTTGGCACCAGCTGGGGCAACATAGGGAAACCCTGTCTCAATTTTTAAAAAAAGATACATATTCTATCCAATTTTCCATCAGCCACCCAACCTGCCTAATGGGAGACAATATTTGCAATTAGTGTGGCTTTTGTCCTTACCATTCTCTTTTGGTTTCAAGAGGGATGCCATAACTCTGGGCATTATATTCTCAGATACTTTCAGATAACTCAGATAGGAAAGAAGGAGAGTTTCAACCCACATATCTCTTTATCAAGGAGGTTCTTTTAAAAATATATTCTCATGTTTCCCTCCTCCAGGATTGATTCCACTTCCTCACTGTATGAGAACATGATCTTCTGCTTTTTGTAGGCCTAATAATAAGAGGAAACTCTGCCAGCCATGAGGAATTGCTGAGGTGAGGCTGGTGGTTGTTGAATAGATTTCCCACAGTGTCTGGCAAATATTTTGCTTGAAGAATAAGCTATGGGCAAAAATTCTTCAGCAAAGAAGAGCTTGGGCATTGTGTGATGTTAGGATTGGCTATTGAAATTTCTTAAATTTCTTAATTTAAAATTCATTTAAATTAAAATGAAATTATGTTACATACTTTTCCCTGATTTGAAGTTGTTATTTACTCATTAGGAAAACAAATAACAAATGACACATCATTGGGCATAATCAAATGTGACCTAAGACAGGATTAAGGTCCATTTACCACTATCCCTAAATCCAGAACTTAACTCTCCCTTTTAGAAAGCTCATTGACTTAGTACTTGATGAAGGTCTGAATATAATATGAGAAACTTCTCTATAACTGAGGGATTCATGTTTATCAGAAACTCCAGAGCTATCATACACAGCTGTCAACACATGGCACCATTCCTGGTGACCTATGATTGATTGCAAGTTAGGATTTTCATGTTTAGTCAAAGAATAAGTGAGTAACGGGACAACCTGCCGAATGGGAGACAATATTTGCAAATTATTCATCTGACAAAATATTAATATACAGAATATATATGGAATGCAATAGTAAAAACCTCACAATATGATTAGGAAGTGGGTAAATGATCTGAAGAGATATTTGTCCAGCAAATATATGGAAAATGCTCAATATCATTAATTATTAGGGAAATGCAAATCACAATCACAATGGTATATCTTCTTACTCTAGTTACAGTGGATAATTATTTTAAAAAACCCAAAGCTAACAAATGTTGGCAAGGATTTAGAGAAAGGGGTACCCTTGTTTACTGTTGGTGGGAATGTAAATCAGTACAGCCACATTGAAAATAATATGGGTGTTCCTTAAAAAATTAACAAGAGAACCATAAGATGTAGCAGCCCTGTTACTAGGTAAATATCCAGAGAAAATAAAATAATTATACCTGCATTCCCATGTTCATTGCAGCACCATTTATAATAGCCAGAATATGGAATCATCTAAAGTATCCATTGACAAATGAATTAAAATAGAAAGTGTGCTTTATATACACAATGGAATGTTTATTTGGTCATAAAAATGAAATCCTGTCATTTGTCACAATGTGGATGGAAGTGGACATCAGATTAAAAATAATAAGCTGGGCATAGAAAGACAAATACTGCACTCTCATTCATTTATGGAAGCTAAAAATAATTGATCATGTAAAAATATAAGTGGTCATTATTGTGAATTGAGCTGCAATAAACATTAAAGTGACCATGTCATGGTAGTATGCTGACTTTTAAATCCTTTGGGTATAGACCAAGGAGTGGGATAACTGGATCAAATGGTAGTTTCATTCCAAGTTTTCTAAGGAATATTAATTCTGCTTTCCATAGTGGTTGTATCAGTTTGCAGTCCCAACAGCAATGTATGAGAATACCTTTCTCCCCACATCCTTGCCAACATTTATTGTTACTTGTATTCTTTATAATTGCCATTCTGACTGGAGTGAGATGGAATTTCAGTGTAGTTTTAATTTTACTTCTTTAATTGCTAGAGATGTTGAATATTGTTTCATATATTTTTTAACCATTTGTATTTCTTCTGCTATGGAACCAACCTCAGTGTCCTTCAACAGATGAATGATAAAGAAAATGTGATATATATATATACACACACACACACACACACACACACACACACACAATGAAATATTACTCAGTTATAAAGAAGAATGAAATTATGGCGTTTGATGGTAAATGGATGGACTGGAGAATATCATGGTAAGTGAAATAGCCAATCCCCCAAAACCAAAGGCCAAATGTTTTCTCTGATAAGCGGATGTGGATCCATAGTGGAGCAGCGTAGGGGGAGGGTGGGGAGGAATGAAGAAACTTTGGATTGTGTAGAGGGGAGTGAGTGGAGGGATGGGGTGGTAGGGATGGGTAGGATGGTGGAGTGAGACAGCCATTGTTACCCTATGTACATGTATGATTGCACTACTGGTGTGACTCTTCACTGTGTACAGCCAGAAGAATGGGAAGTTGTGCTCTATTTGCATACAACATGTAGAAATGCATTCTGCTCCCATGTGTGACTGATTGGAACAAAAAAAAAAAAAAAGGAAGACCAGTAGAATAGAAGAAGGGGAACAGGGAGAGGGAGGAGAGGGAAAAGGGAGGGACTTGGGAATGAAATTGATCAAATTATACTGTTTTATTGTGTGAATGTATGAATATATTATAACAAATAAAAGGAAATTTTTTAAAAGAATAGGATCCTAAATAGAATAAGTTATACTCAATGTATGTATAATATGCCAAAATATATTCTACTGTCATGTATAACTAAAAATAACAAATAAAAAGTAGTGGTCATTAGAAATGGAGAAAGGAAGGG